ATGGTTAATGCTAAGTCTATGGCAATGCTAATCCTATGGGTAATGCTAAGTCTATGGCAATGCTAATCCTATGGGTAATGCTAAGTCTATGGCATAGAGATAACATGGCTAACGCTAATACTATAGACAATGTTAAGTCTATGGACAACGATAACTCTATGGGACTAATGTTGAGTCTATGGGTAATGATGAGTCTATGGATAATGATAAGTCTATGGGTAATGATAAGTCTATGGCAATGCTAATCCTATGGGTAATGCTAAGTCTATGGCATAGGGATAACATGGCTAACGCTAATACTATAGACAATGTTAAGTCTATGGACAACGATAACTCTATGGGACTAATGTTGAGTCTATGGGTAATGATAAGTCTATGGATAATGATAAGTCTATGGGTAATGATAAGTCTATGGCATAAAGATAACATGGGTAATGCTACTTCGATGGACAATGTTAAGTCTATGAACAATGATAACTCTATTGGACTAATGTTAAGTCTATGGGCAAATCTAAATCTATGGGGGAGTGCTAATCTTATGGACTCTTATTGAATGTTTAGATAATGCTAATCTATTCCTTGAGTATCACCCGAATTGTGATTAACGTATAGCATCGCTGTGTGATCCTTGTTTAACACTGTTTTAGGAAATGTTTATCATAAACTAGTATTGCATAACGTATATATTATCACAAATTTTTAATAAAATGATTGAATACTACAGGACATGATTGAATAAAGAATAGTATAAATATCTCACAATTTTAAACATTTAAAATGTCTTATATATTTTCAATAAAAATAATAATGGCAATCAAAATTCTATTCTGTTTATTGCTAATAATTACTGCATGTCTATCAATGGCATTACCGAACCTAAAAAATATAAAAGCTAAATCTGTTGAATTTAATAACAAATCATGGTATGAATTCAAAAATCGCGTCACCGGCCGATTCCTCGTATGGACAACCGATGTCATTACAAAGTCTGTTATCGGTAACACTACTATCGATGACAATATACGACACCAGTTTCAACGTTAAAGAACAAATGGCTGGCTTACCATGGTACATCCGGACAATAGTAGTCACATAGTAAAAGTGGTTGAGTCGCCCAATTCAGGTTATGTCGTTATTTACAATAAAGACTGCCGTAAGTTATTTTAAAAATGTTTTAACGCTATGTTTAATAGTAACCAAATTGATATTGCATATTTATAGATCGTGGTAAATACCCTAATGGTAAGGATCCTGAAACCGGTGCTATATTTTGTATGAAACCGGTTAATCATAATCACCAGAAACAATTTAAATGGCAATTGTTCAAAATTCAAGATGATGATTATAGTAAAGAGAGAACACTTAAATATTTATTAATGAATTACATTTATCTATTCTCCGTGCACCTGTGGGTAAATTTTGTTAAAATGAATGAGTAGATTATAAGCATTATGGTTAAATAAAATATTTAATGGTCAATTTCAATAAATATATTCAAGATGTTATTAATTCTATTATGTTTTAACACTTAATAATAAACTTAATTAAAAAATTATATTTAATTATTTTTGATAATTTTTATTAACTGTTTGACAAATGACACAAAAACAAAATAAAATTACATTACATTATTAATGTAATAATTTTTATGAGAAAACTTTAAATCTATTTTAATTAAAAGTGATATTATTCAATAAATGTACTTATTTTTATAAATATTGAGTTCCTAAAAATTAAATATTGAGTTTTAACTACAAAATAATTATACCATAATCCATGCCAATTTTACAAAAAAATAGTTTTATCACAATTCAAATATAAATAATGTTATTTATTAGATCGTTTGACTTTTTCCTTTTTCTCGGCTCAGCCTTGCCTTTTCATTTGAAATGTTTAGCTATATTTTACTATAAAATGCTCCCATAGCATAGCAAGTAGGACACTTTGTCTATAATAAATGCAATTCCAAGGTATTCTATTAGGTTATAGCTTACCTTTATGTTATATGTTTAACATAGTTAATGCTATGTTATTGCAATGCTGTAGAACTCATATTAAATTATTATTCTATACTAAAATTATTTAAACACAATTCAGCTATTAATAATGTGGTTTATAGGATCGTTAGGCCCCTCCACCTCCGCACTCCCCCCGCTTTATGGGATTTAACATGAGATTGCAGCCAATAGCTATATATTAACATGGGTAATGCTAAGTTTATGGCAATGCTAATCCTATGGGTAATGCTAATCTAATCCTATGCGTAATGTTATATCTATGACAGGACTAACATGAGTCTATTGCAATGTTAATTGTATGGATAATTCTAAGTCTATGACATAAGGATAAAATGTTCAATGCTAATCTTATGAACAATGCTAACTCAATGGAACTAATGTTAATCTGATGGACAATCCTAATCCTATTACATTACCGCAAATATAGTTAACGAATAGCATCGCTGTGATTTTTATTTTACAATTATATGTATTTTATGTAGTACAATTAAAGTTATATTATTTAATAACTGTACTTATTGTTATAAATATCTATTCATATATAAATAGTAATGTTTAGAAGCTACAATGAAAAATCATTCTAAGCCATGCCATTTTAATATAATAATTTTTATTGTCATTTATGTTGTCAATTCAGTATTGAAATTGTCACTCTGCAAATATTCGATTTTTAATTAAACTATACTGTAATTTTTTATAACTTTTAGTTATTGTGATTATTTATAACTATAATTTAAATATAAATATATCCCTTTTCCACACAAATATAAATAATAGGATATTCTCTCTATCTCTATCTCTCTCTCTCTCTCTCTCTCTTTTTTTCTCTCTCTCTCTCTCTCTCTCTCTCTCAGTAATACTTTATAATTTATATAACTTTTCATTCAATACAAGTATAACATATAAAATGTAAAAGATATTTTTTCAAAAGTGAATTAAATTGCAACTCTTGGTTGTAAATAATTTAAACAAATAATTAAAAAAAATTCTTTTAATATAAAAATTCAATTTTAATTATAAAATTAAAATAATTTACATTTTTACCAAATCGATGTTCATTACATAAATGCCAACAAAATATTGCAATAATTTTTATTTAAAAAAATTAAAATGACACGGCGATTTGTACATTTTAAATTACTATAGTTAAAAATTTAACTTGTTTAATTGGTGTTTTACAATTTCATGCAAATTAAGATATTGCACTAAAATCATTAATTTGATCGATAATCATCTGATATAACTGCTTAATTTCTACATCATCTTCAACAACCTCTTCAATAACAGTCAGTGGATTTGTGGCCACCGGTAGGTCATTAGGGTTGTAGTACTTTGCGAGATACGTGTGCTTTAACGCCTCGTCAACAGTAATGCGTTGATTGGGATTAAATGTTAACAAACGGCCCAATAAGTCCAGGGCTTGAGGGTTAGCTTTCCCAAACCGTTGTGCCCAATTAATTTGTTCGGGTACTGGTCGCGAAGTTATTGCAGCGCGAATATAGTTGTTAGTGATCCAGCTGACGTCTAAATTGCCTCCCAGAACATCTACTATGCAATTAACCTGTTGGTAGTGATTTTGACCAGGAAATAGTGGTTTTCTGGACAACATTTCGGCCAACACACAACCCACTGACCAGACATCTATTGAATTATTATAGCAACTGTCGGTCAGCATAACTTCCGGCGCTCTGTACCATCGGGTGCAAACGTACACAGTATGAGCGCCACTATGGTCGAAGTCGGGGTCGGACACCCGTGCTAAACCAAAGTCACACAATTTTAGGTCGGCGTTTTCGTTTACTAAAATATTTGCCGGTTTAATATCCCTATGCAAAACATTAGCCGAATGAATATACTTTAATGCTCGTAGTAGTTGGTAAGTTAAATATGCTACTTGATCATTGGATAGAGTTGTCTTTATTAATAAAGAGGCTAAATTATATTGCATAGGGCTCTGCACAATGTATACGTGCTCAATAGGGCTGATTTTACCGGATCGATACTTTAAGTCTTTGATGTCCACAATGTTTTCGTGGCTAAAATGTATCATTATTTTAATTTCTCGTAGTAATCGCTGATACAGTATATGATGATTTGAACACGAAATCTTTTTGATAGCCACATTCTGTCCAGTTTGGTTATCGACTGCTAGCCACACAGTGCCATAAGCTCCACGACCAATGTTTTTTAATTGTGTGTACCGAGGTCCTAAGGCTTCAATATCTGCAGAATTTACTTCCATTATTAGAAATAATTTTAAATGATTTAAAATTTAATTTAATGACGTGATAATTTTAATACTACGGAGACTATGGTAATGTAATAAATGATTAACTATTTATACTAATGGAAATTGTTAAATCACGATTATCTCATATATTTATATATATTATTACAAGGTCACATAGAGGGCTAGTCAATGTATCTCGCGCATACAGTTTTATATTAGGTTCAAATAATAAGGGGGAGGGGCAGCCGAACGATCCTATAAACCTGATTATTTATAGCTGAATTGTGGTTAAAAATTTAGTATTATTCATTCTAATACTAATAGTTAAAATCTAATATATAAAATCGAACACTTTGTCAAACGCTATTCAAAAAGTCAAGCAAACAATATAGATATGTTCCCAATATAAAATTTAAGAAGCTCAACTTATATGTGATATGATAAATGACTATAATCCAACAATACTTTGGTTTAATGACTTAAACGTCATATATACGCAAAATGTTTTGTTTAAAAAAATTCTATTATCAACATTGAAAAAAAACTCACAAACAAGGACACCATAATAATTGAAGGCTAAGCATTACATTTAGACATAACCACAATATACTTAACATTTTCATAAATTATGATTTCCAATATAAAATTATTTAGCATCATCGTAGATATTACATTAATCCATAAGATCAGAATTGGAAAAGATATACTTTTTGAGCAATAAATACTAAATTGCAGAAAATTTAATATTAATTTTTATGCGTAAATGTAGTATTGAAACGAGGGATCAAATTCACGTCTTTATCTTTTATATTTTGAAATATGGCATTGTGTGTCGATTCCAAGTATACAGCGTGACCAAATTATATTTGTAAGATATTCAGAAAAACTAGAGTTTATAACACTTATATATACTTTTTAAAAATTTGATAATCTTTATTATTTGAAAGTAATAAACAAAACTGTATGTGCGAGATACATTGACTGACCATTTACATATAAACTTGTTATTATAAATTTATCTATTGAACCACAATTCAGCTATTAATAATATGGTTTATTAGAGCGCCCCTCCCTAACCACCCCATGCTCTATTAAATTTAACATGGAATTATAGCTTATCTTTATAACTAGATTTTAACACGTGGTTCTCGAGTCTATGGGAAATTAACATTAGATTCGAGCTTACATCTAAGGTTATACTTTAACATAGGTCACTATAAGTTTATGGGTAATGTTAAATCTAAAGACAAATGCTAATTTTATGGACAATGCTAAATTTACAGATAATGTTAGTTCTATGTGTAATGTTTATCATATAAATCAATCTAATTCTATGGGATTATTGAGAAATGTATGGCAATGCTCAATCTATGGTCCTCATTAGTACTACTGACCCTACTATTATATGTACTCGTATGAAATCTGAAAATAATGCCAATCTATTTTTTTAGCAATACCCGAATTGTAGTTAACGTTTAGCATAGCTGTGTGAACCTTGTGTTAACATTATTAATATGTATTCGAAAAACAGGATACGAATTCTGATAAAATACTATCTTTACTAATTGTTCTTATCTTAACCTTGAATTATGTAATTAAGTTATTATATTTTCGTATTTTTCAAAAATCGTAGCAATAGTTAGATGATTTTTAACGATTATATCTATTGTTATCTAATTAATTAGTCAATTAATTATCTAGATAATTACAATTTAATTTTAATAACAGTGAATAACATTATACATTAATTATATTTGATTTCTATCACAGTTTCCTGCAATGGAACTAGCGTTGCCAGAAAATATTTTGGATATCCTGTATAAGAGTGAGAATGTACCTAAAATTCCTGTATTTTCCTGTATTTTATTTTGTAAAAATGAAATATACAGTAAAACATGAACTGGGTGAACCTGGTAAATTTTGACATTTAGTTCACACAAATCATTATGAACTAAAAGTATGGTTAATACATAAATGTATCTTTAAATTACAAATTTATAAATGTTTTAAGAGAAATTAAGTCACATCAGTTTAAGGATACGTGACGTCACGATTAGTTTTGGTTTCAATGGGGTTTTAACATTAGCTACGAAGGCCGAGATGCTATGATATACCAACACTAATTTTCCAAATAATGTGTTTCAAAGGAGTAATAAAGTGCTGAGGCTTTAGTCGTAATTGTCTGTTGTTTTAATAGTTTATTGAATGTGAACAGCTTATTAGCCGTTTTGTGTACTTATACCAACACTAATTTTCCAAATAATGTGTTTCAAAGGAGTAATAAAGTGCTGAGGCTTTAGTCGTAATTGTCTGTTGTTTTAATAGTTTATTGAATGTGAACAGCTTATTAGCCGTTTTGTGTACAAAATTTCTTAGTTGTTCACACAGATCATTAGTTCACAATGTTCATGTTCACACAAATCATGTTATTTTAACATTATGTCTATGAGAGACTAGTTTGTGTTTTGAGACTTGGTTCATACAAATCCTTAGTTCACACAACTCATGGTTCACCCAGTTCATGTTTGACTGAACTACACGATTTTCCGTTTATAAGATAAATTGCACATGATATTATATAACAAGATATTTATAATATATAAACAATTTTATAATATGTATTACACAAGGTTGGGCATCATCAGAAATAACCGTATGTTCCAACAGCACCAGTATCATTGAATAATGTGGTTTATAGCATCTTTCATTAACAATGTTAAGTCAATGGATAATGCTAAGTTTATAACAATACTTAGTATATGGACTTTATGTTCATTAACGCTAATCCGATGACTCTTATTAAATCTTTATACAATATATTGCTTATATACTATCTATTCTTTGATCACCACCCGAATTGTAGTTAACATATAGCATCGCTGTGTGTTCCTTGTTTTAATATATAAAACTCATTGTGATGGTCAGTATACTTCTCATAAAGTTAACATTATCAATAGACTTAGCATTACCAGTGTCACGGAACATCCGTCATAAAATTAAGGTGTATTTAAACAATTACCCATATAACCGCTAATTTATCTATGTATCCAATGTTAAGATATAGCCACAAGATTAACATGGTGTCTCATATTAAATCACATAAGTTGTGGATGGGAGGGTTGGCAGGACAATTTTATAAACAACATTCTTCAAAAATGAATTTTGGTTAAATATAATTATAAATAAAGTTTTTGGCATAAATGTAACAACATTTAATGTAAATAACTGGTTAATTGAGATTTCAATCACAATATCGCAATTCCCCCAAACCAATTACATTGATTAAGTAGTAATTTAATGAATAAGTCAATTTATATAGGGCATATCACTTATATTTATATAATTTCATGGCCACGATATGTCTAAAAATATACAAATGTATATTAAATAATATTTTCAATTTTTTTTAAGCAATAAATAATAAATGATAAGATTTTTTTTTGAAAACATTTTTAAAACATATTAAAATTAATCAAAGTTTAAAAAATTCAGCGATGCGGGCGAGATCCATATTATTTACAAGCACTCAATATCTGTTAATTATACTCAGTTTTGACTTATATGAATTTATTATTAGTAGGTTTTCTAAAGTATTATTAATGACATTTAATGTATTAGTAATTTTCTATTCAAAAATTATTGTAAATCTCAATGTATTATAATTTTACAAATAAGGTATTTAAGACCCCTCTCGCCTCCATAAATTTAAATCAATGGCTATACTTCAACATGGTGCTAATGTTATACTATTGATAATGATAATCCTATGAGACAAATTCCAATTCTATAGACAATGCTCAGTTTATGGCAATTATAAATCTATAAGGTTGTTAAGAAAAAAGCGGTTGTGTATCTTGTTCGATTCCTCTGGAACTGTTGAAGTGACATTATTGTAACTTCACACATATATAGAAACACGTCGGGCAATTTTTTGACAATTAAAAATTTTATGATCACGTGACTATTTATTGAGAAAATGGATGATTTGCGAGACCCATATTCACACCCTACTGTGTTTGTTATAGGGAGAGGTGGGGGTTAGGGTTGCATAGAGCTAATGTCAAAGTGTTATAATAACTAAGAACCACGATTATTGGATTACACGTTTTTACATGTACAAAGTGTACGTGAACAAAGTAAGCCAATTTCCCCATGTTAACCTAAGGGGATGAAAAATAATTTTATATTTCAATATAATTAATTGTATTTTTAAAAACTACATCAAAATCTGATAATGTTAGTAGAAAAAACCTTTGAAAAATTCAATTCCCAAGACAAAATATTTTAACCCTAAAAGCTTAAACTGGGAGATTAGTCTCCCATTTGCACTTTGAATTTTAATTAAAAATCAATGAAGAGTGCTAGCTAGAAAAAAATTCAGTAATGCCTCATAAATAGTTAGATTTATAAATTTGTAAAGTTATATTATTATTAAATTAAATTATCATGGTTAAATTGATTTAGTTTGAACATTTGGGATATTATTTATAACCCAGTTTATGCGCAATGTAACTATTTTCCTACAGTATAAATAGTGCTAATCTTTTTCTGCGTTTATTGCATAAACTGGGAGAATACTCTCCCAGCAGTAAACTGCATAAACTAGGAGAATAATCTCCCAGCATAAACAGCACTAAAGCGTGGGATAGTAATCTCCCAGTTTATGCACTAACTGCTGGGTGATTAGTCTCCCAGTTTATTTATAACGTTTATAATTATAGTTTAAGCTTTAAGGGTTAAATTAAAATATATAAAATATTGACTATTTGTAGGTTTTATGGCCATATATCAATATTTCAATTTATAATATTTCGAAATTTGCAATTGACGATCCTATGTTAAATCCGATAGGGTGGGGGAGTGGAGAGGGGGAGAGGTAACCGAACGATTCTATAAACCACATTCTTCATTCTTAGTTGTGGTTAAAAACTATTATACCTTATGCCGTTTTAATATAAAAATGCTAATTCTTAATTTTAATAAATTCAAACTTATCGGTTTAATCACAAATTTTATTTATTATTATAATCATTAATTATAATTAACTATGATGTGTTTGCTTAAAAATTATATTTCTAATAATTTGAATTCATCAAACATTTTATTGATTTATTTGACTCTTGTATTAAAGTTATGAGATATCGTTTAGTCTATTGGACGTAACGGCACATTAATTAATTTAATACGAAATATACCATATTTTTAATATTAAAGCAAAACAGACAATGGAAACAGATAATTAATATTTAAATACATTAAAAATTATATAAATAATTTTAATATTATATAATCTCAAATTACAAATTAAAATCAAAAGTTATATAATAAATTGGCCATTCAGATAGACTAAGAGTATTTATATAAAATATACGCTTAAGATATAAATTTTAAAATTATTTGGTCAGTGAATTTAATAGTCCATGTATATCATACGGCGATAACGGTTGACGCAAGAATAAGGGCGATAAAAAATGATTAAAACCATTTAATGAGTCAGGAGTAGCCATCGTTTGCAATTTGAATGGAGAAACTATAGTAACAATTGGTGTCTGCAGTGAATCTGCTAAATGATGGTGCAAATGAGTTGGACTCAACGGTAGACCAGTTATGGGCGGCGGTCGCGGCTTCGAATTGATAATCGATTTGTTGGTTGTACTCGACTTTTCTTCGTTAGAAGTCAAGTTGATTACCGAACAGTTATGCAATGGCTTTAAGCTCTCAATAAATGTCATTGTAGTCGCACTGTCAGAAGGCGACGGCGATATTGAACTCGTTGTAAGCAGTGCTTCAAAGGTTTTGTTTGTGTTTAATTCAACAAAAGTTGAATCGTTGCATTCGGACTGAGTGATGGTTTCTGAAATTTTATTAAAATTTTATTGAAATATTACTAATATTATTGTTATTTTCAATACAGATATTTTTTAAATAATTACTTTCACATTTAAGTTTACGTTTAAGGAGATTACATTTAAAAGTCAATTGACTAGTGAATAATTTACCAGGTAAATTGCTAGACAGTGTATTGATTTTATTGGTACTGGTCATATATGAACGGACAGGCATACAATTCTTTATTTTGAAGCTCTTCATTAAGTCCACAAATCGGTAAACAAACTTCTGATTCTTTACTTTTTTAATAATATTTTTTCTGTAGTAATGTCTCAAACTTCGACTAAGATTTTCATAATTCATATAAGGATTATCCTTTTGTAGACCCCATAGTCTGGACACACTGGTAGGATCAATAAATTTAAATTCACCAACATTTTTGGTCCACGTGATGATTTGTTTATACTAGATTATGGGTTGTATTTTTCTTATTGCATATGATTTTATTTTCATCTATTTAAATAATATATTATGTTTCATATTATTTTGTAAAACGTTTAAAGATATAATTGACATAATATATTAAAATTAATTTATATAGATTAGAACTTACCTTATTGTTCATTAATATCTCCAACAAGAATTCCCATAATTTTATTTTAATCTCGATACCTATAAAATTTTTTGTAAATATCTGTTGTGTTACTAATATTAATTATTTTATTTAAAAATTATTATATCAATAAATTATTTGTGTTAACATATACTATACGTCAATTATTAAGAATTTAAATTTATTTAAATAATTGTTTAAAAAATTTGGCAAACGACAACATATGTTTATATAGGCGATTTATACATATAATGAAAATATAACCATTTTATTACATGTTTACAATACATAAAGAAAAAGTATTTTAACTTAAATATTAGATATATTACATCTACAATACAACATTTAAATAATAATATGGATAATAATAATTAAGTAATGTTGACCTACTTTCAGACATGACATTCTCATCTTGTTCTATACTTATATTTATTCCATCGTCAATTGAATTGTGATAACAATTTAATTGTAGTCCGGTTAAATTATAAAATGCCATTTAATTATTAAATAACAACAAATGATGATTTAAATAACAGAATTTACAATAAATTTTACTTGAACTTGAATTTAAAACTAATTTGCAATTATGGCGGACTTGTGTGCAATTCTAATAATATATACTTTATATAAATAATTTGTGAGATATCATCACACTTCACAATGAAGCATGTTGTTTCTAAAATATCTATTTTGATATAGATTGATATCCTTGAATTTATCAATGAAATAATAAAATCCGGACATAAAATATTCTTATCACAAACATTCATTAACCACAAACACAAATAATTATATATATTTATTTTAAACTTTGTCATAGGAAATGTTTATAATATTCTAATATTTCAGATAGAACGTACAGTGTTTACATTAATAAACTCCGTAAAAGTAAACTCGATTATCACGCGTATATTTGATCTAGAAATTCAAATGATACATAAAATTAATTGTCAAATCCTGGAGTTTATGTTATAATATGGTCAATATGGTGTACCCCTATTATATAAGTAATTTCACAAACAAAATTTTGTTTTAAACATTATACATGTCTTATATATTGTTAATAAGCATAATAATAAAATGAATTCTTTAATAAATGAGATACATACAGAATATTTAAGATGTTATTAATTTATTATGTTTTACCATTAAATAAGAAATTTAATTACAAACTAAGATCACACAGCGCTGCTATACGTTAACCACAATTCTGGCATTGTTAATAGATTAGATGAGCATAATTAACAGATTTACAGACGAGTCCATAGGATTAGCACTCCCCATATTCTTAACTTTGTCCATTTGTAATCACAATTCAGTATAAAGAATGTGGTTAAAGGACTTCTTCTCGGCTTAGCAGGAAAGTATGTCAACATAACCTAGTTGATCCAGTTGTGGTTGATATGGTTGTGTTCAGTGCTATATAGAGATGTATATTCTTTAGTCAGAACTCCCGGAAGGCCATAAGCATTGAAGTTATGGTCACATTTATCGTGATGTGTCAGCGCAAGTATGAGTGGGTAACCGTATGGTAGAGCGCTAGGTGTAGACGCCTTCAGGGGTGAGTATAAAGTCCACGTCCTTGTGGGGACGTCATGGAGTAACTCGATCCGAGGCAATAACCAACCTAGTTATAATGCAAACAACTGGCTTATTTTACATATAGGTGATGTACCTGTTTGGATCAGGTTGGGGCATACCATGGAGTAGTAGATAAAACTGTTTCGTGTTACTGTTCCATACCAGCGCCTGACCTGTGCTGTCATAGTCTCGTTTGACAATCACTTTGCGGAACACTTGGCGACACGATTGCGGGTTCGGCTCCGGGAACTGACCCCTGTTTACCTCCATATCGTTGTACGGATTGTCTGTAAAACTGATCCCAAGATGTCTTTGTGTCTCTGTTTTTGTTGCAAACTTTACTCTCGTCTTAACACTAATCTAT